AATCTTTGCTCCGGGCAGGCAGTATACCTCTCGTGCTGAAGGGTCCTGGCGACAGATGGGCCCTTCCGTACCTCTCAGGATGGAGTCGCCTATGACGAGCACTCGTCGCCTCCTCCTCTGGGTCCTTTTGGATCTCTTGACCTGTTCGGAGTATGAAGAATGTGGTGTTTCTTCCTGCCCAACGGTTTCCTCCTCCCCTTCCATCTCTTGCAGGGTCGCCAGGGCCTCGTACCTGTTCTCCAGTCGGACTGGAGAAGCTGGTACCTGTTCGCTGCGAGCTGCTCCGGTCCTGGCTGTAACCGTCTGCCACTCTGCTGTGGAGGGCATTCCCCGGGCTGCTTCTTCCTTAGGTGCCTGGTCCTGCAGGGAAAGGAAATAACTGTCAATTTCATCCTCCGCCTCCCTGATCCCCCTCAGCCTGCTAACCTCCTCCTGGAGCTCCCTCACCTGCACCTCCAGAGCCCTAAGACGGGCTCCTGCCGGACAGGTGTGAGGGCCCCCAATCTCTGCCCCCCCGGCCCTGCTGGGGATCCCCCACAGGCCAGGAGGTAGGGTAATTTTAATTTACCAGTTTGTCCATCTTATTTGCTTTTACACTTTTCTAAAAGTGGCTGTTTTTTCTTTGTTAGAAGAGCCAATTAGAACTATTCTGATCCAAATGGATAAAAGCCTAAGATTTAAAAAATATTAAAACATATGTCTTAACATGTAAATCAATTTTTAATTAATATATTTTTCTTTTAAAAATAAAACTACTTAAAAGTATGAGTAATATTTATTAATTCCAGTTTTAAATGCAAAATGTGTAGACAGACTATTTTTCTTTCCTCTATCCAGTACATTGAGAGTAGGTTTTTTTTACCAAATATAAAAAATGAATAATTGTTGGGTTTTGAGCATTTTAATGAGGCCTGCTGCCTCCCAGGGGCCCGTATCTGGGATGTAGCTGAAAGGAACCCTAAACTTATCTGACCCTTCAACCACTACCTCATATTCCTCATCCATGTGGGTACAAACGACACGGTTCAGAGCAATCCCAGCCAGGTCATAAGTGACTACAGGGCTCTGGGGGCTGGGCTCAGAGGGTTGGGAGCACAGGTGGTTTTTTCCTCGATCCTTCCTGTTACGGGTTACAGGCACAGGAGGGAGAGATGTATTGATGAAGTAAAAAGAAGATTGAGGTGTTGGTGCCACTGCAAAGGCTTCAGCTTCTTCAATCAGAGTCCGCACCTCAGAGACAGACCTCCACCTCACCCCAATGGGAAAGAAGCTATTTTCAACTGGATTGGCTGTCCTTCTTGACAGAGTTTTAAACGAATATTGCTGGGGGACGGGCAAACAACCATCGGAGCAAGCCCAGGAAGTGATAAACACATAATCAGCAGGTCAGGAAATACAATCAAACTTATTCTGACCCCAGCCCAAGGACAGGATTCCTGTAAATGCACAAAGAAGCAAGCCTAGGGCTTCTGATGGCAAGCTTAGCTGCCTGTACATGAATGCCAGGAGCATGGGGAACAAATAGGAGGAACTGACCCTTCTGCTAAGCAATAACAAATATGATTTCATAAGGATAATGGAGACCTGGTGGGACTGCACCTATGACTGGACCACAGGTATAGATAGCTATACCTTGTGTAGGAGGGACCATGTTGGGCGGAAGGGAGATGACCTGGTAGGGGAGCTGTAGATTCATGGTCATCTTGGGGACAGTGACCACCAATCAATTGAATTCAACATAGGGTGTAGAGTGGGTAAGATAACTAGTAGGGTGGAAGTGCTGTACTTTAGGAAGGCTAACTTCAGTGTGCTCAGGAGTTTAGTCAATGATGCACTGCAGGATAGGAAGTCGTTCCTAAAGGAAGCGATCCTTCGGGCGCAGAGGGAGACAATCCCAGTGCAAGGGAAAGGTGGGGAAATGGGCCAAAAAACTTCCTTGTCTAAACAGAGAAATCCAGGGAAGCCTTAGGGCAAAAAAGGAGGCATATAGGCGGTGGAAGCAGGGGGAAGCTACTACCAAGGAGGAGTATACCTACCTGGCCCACACTTGCAGGGAGGCAGTTAGAAAGGCCAAAGCAACTATGGAGCTGAGGCTGGCAACACAAATTAAAGACAACAAAAAGTCTTTTTTTAGGTATGTAGGGAGTAAAAGGAAGGTGCAGAGCAGCATAGGACCCCTACTGAACAAGCAGGAGCAATTAGTAACAGACAGAGGGATAAGGCTGAGCTCTTTAATGAGTTTTTTTGCCTCAGTGTTCCTGAACAAGGGTCAAGATAAGTCTCTTTAATGGATTCTTAGATGGGCATGAGTGGTCGCCCCTTAAGGACACGATCTTAAAAGCACAACTCTTCAGTCTAGGGAGAACGTCTGTGGGATTCTTCAGCCTGGAGAAGCACAGGCTCAAGGGTAACATGGTGGCAACCTGTAAGTAGGATTCATAGGATTCATCAGGATTCATAGAACACCTGTTCACCAGAGCACCCCAGGGGATGGCAACTCCTGCAAGACCATTTTAGGGTGGACATAAGGAAAAACTTCTTTACTGTCCAAGCCCCCAAGGCCTGGAACAGACTCCCACCAGAAGTGATGCAAGCATTTACCCTGGACACTTTCAAGAAACATTTGGACATTTATCTTGCTGGAATTCTTTGACAATAGCTGACTTTCTGCCCCTTGGGCAGGGGGCTGGATCCGATGATCTCACAGGGTCCCTTCCAGCCCTAATGTCTATGAAATCTATTAACTCTATTCCGATCCATAGGAAAGGTTGTAAAAGGGCTGGGAGACCCCTTGGCTCAATAGGGAACTCATGGACCTCCTGAATCTTAAAAGAGAAGCCTATAAGGGTTGGAAGATGGGAAATACCTCTAAGGAGGACTATGCATCACTAGCCCACACCTGTAGGGAATGCACCAAAAAAGCCAAGGCTAAAAATGAGCTCAAACTGGCTGTGGGAATAAAGGACAATAAAAAGTCCTCCTTCAGATACATGGGAAGTCGAAAGAGAAATAAGGGCAATATCAGGCCCCTGCTGAACCAAATGGGGCAGTTGACATCTGACACCCAGGAAGAAGCTAATCTCCTTAATGATTACTTTGCATTGGTTTTTCACCAGCCCAAGGGGTCACCCTGCATGACAGAACACAGGATTATGAGAGTTTGGGTGACTACGCACCTACATTTGGCGAAGACCTTGTGAGGGAATACTTTGAGAGGCTGGACATCCATAAGCCAGTGGGCCTTGATGAAATGCACCCAAGAGTGCTAAAAGAGTTGGCTGACATCATAGCGTGACCAATGGCGAGTATATTTGAGAACTTATGGTGCTCGGGAGAGGTTCTTGAAGACTGTAGAGGGCCAATATGGTGCCTATCTTCAAGAAAGGAAGGAAGGAAGATCCGGGGAACTACAGGCCAAGCAGTTTGACCTCAATCCCTGGAAAGATCATGGCAAAAATTATTAAAGAATCCATCAACAATAGGCTAACAGAAGGCATCATCCTGAGAGACAACCAACACGGCTTTGTTACAGGTAGGTTGTGCCTGACCAACCTCATCTCCTTCTATGACCAGGTGACGTGTCACCTGGACAGGGGAGGAGAGGCTAATGTCATTTACTTGGATTTCAAAAAAGCCTTTAACTTGGTCACCCATGATGTCCTCATGATGAAACTGGGATACTGCGACTTCAACAACCTTACAGTCTGATGGCTGGGGAACTGGCTCCATGGTTGGACCTAGAGACAGTCGATGGAACTGAGTCAACATGGTGCATGGTGACCAGTAGCATCCCTCAGGGTTCGGTACTTGGGCCAGTACTCTTTAACATGTTCATTAACAACCTGGACCCATAGGCTTGGCAGTGCTAAACTCACTAGCACTCCGACCAAAAGAGACTTGAGGGTCATGATTGACCACCAGATGAATGTGAGCTACCAATGCGATGCTGCAGCTGGCAAAGCAAATAAAACCCTGGCTTGCATCTACTGATGCACCTCAAGCAAGACCCAAGATCTCATTCTCCTGCTTTATTCGGCCTTGATGAGGCCGCAGCTGGGGCACAGCATCCAGTTCTGGGCTCCACACTTTAGGAAGGATGTTGAGAAGCTTGAGAGAGTCCAGAGGGGAGCCACACGCATGATCAGGTCAAAAGAGCAGGCCTTATGAGGAGGGGCTGAGAGGCATGGGACTCTTCAACTTGAAAAAGCATAAGCTCAGGGGGGACTTAGTGAAAGCCTATAAGTTTATCAGGGGTGTGCATCAGGATCTGGGAGAACGTCTGTTCACCAGGGCACCCCAAGGAAAGACAACGTCCAACAGTCACAAACTGCTGGAAGACCATTTTAGACTGGACATAAGGAAAAACTTCTTTACTGTCCGAGTCTCCAGAGTCTGGAATAGACTTCCCCCAAAAGTGGTGCAAGCACCTACTCTGGACACGTTCAAGAAGCGTTTGGATGATTATCTTGCTGGGGTCATCTGATCTACCAACCAATAAGAATCAGTATTTCTATGAGAAAGTAAATTAAAGGTACAAATGCAAAAGATGATTAAAATAAAGTATTTAAATCAGTTTCCTTGTTAATTTAAATAATGATTCAAACCAGTATTTTAAATTACTTAGATTTAATTTAAACCTGCCTCCACCCCGGGGCAGGGGGTCAGACCTGATGATCTGTTTAGGTCCCTTCCGACCCTAAGCACTATGATACTCTGAACCCATCCTGGTCACATGTTTGTTTAAGAGCTGCTGACTTTATACTGGTCATATATAGTAAATTCTAATATTTGCCATTCTTTCTGTTTACAGGCTATTTTATTTAATTGAAATGTCTGTACAGAGGCTTTGTTTTGTAAATAACACGTTGATGTATCACATACACGTTTCCTCTGCAGTGGTTCTAATTTAGTTAGAAAAATAAACCTTTAGAAGATGTGAAGTCCATAAAGGGCCAAATCCTCATATTCTTGCTCAGAGCTTGGCTGTATACTGCTGCTCTTTGGAAGACAATGGAGAAGAGCATGCACAGGAAACCTTATTGCACTTTTACACTATCACCATGTTCAGCTGGAGTGGGCAGAAGCAGCTCTCAAAATTCCCCTGGAGCCTGGACAGTGGGGAAAACAACTGTGGCAGACAAAGGATAGGGAATGAGGGGGACCTGCCTCAGCATGGAGGGGAAGGGAGGGGGGATCCTTACCTGCTTTGGGGACTTTTTAAGTGCCAGAAGCTCCAGTAGCACAGTCCAATCCAAAACAGGGGTACAACCATGCTACTGCACTCACTTTGGTTCTGCCCCTGGATGGGAGGGTGAAAGGTTTTATAGACATTCATGGCAGAGACAGAAATAAACAGGATAGGGAAGCTGCTGTTTTCACCCTGGTAGGGCCTGAAAAATCAACTGAAGAAATGTGCAGGGCCTGAAAGATGAGGCTGAGAAGGAACACAAGAAGGATTTGAAAAAGGAAGGGATGGGGGAGTGGGATTATTGTTTTGGAACCTGATTATGGATGGCCTGGAGGGGAATTATGTTGGTGTTGGGGATGATGATAACTAGCAAGAGATGGCTGGACCATGGCCAAGAATGAGAATTTACTGTTATAAGGAATATGCATGAGAGGTCAGGCAGATATTCACTATATTTGCAGGAGCTAGAAGATGGACTACCTATCACAAAATCAAAAAAGAATGGCCTGAATGTAGAAAGCAGCAAGTCCAGCTGGAATGGTACAGCCCAGGAGTTTCAAGGTATACTATGGCTACATTAAGGTCAGAGCTAACTTTAGCCCCTGTCAAAAAAAGCTGGTAGAAACATTTTCTTTGGAGGAAATGTAGGTGATCTCACAGACTTCTCACAGGGCTGAGCATTCTCTGAGAGTTCCATATTGAATCTCCCAGCATTTTAAATAGAAAATGAAATTAACTTCCGTGAAGATTACATTGAGATTTATAACATTTCTGTAGGGACTCAGTCTTATACTTCTTGAAGGGCCAAGTTTCCCCTGAGGCCCATTCCTCCTTTCCTTTTGAATCAAAACTTCCATTTCAATTAATGAAATGCTCAGGTGACTTAGAAACATCTCTGCCGTTGACATAGCCTGAGTAAGGAGTGCACTATTAAACCACAGGACATTAATGAAAACTTAATTCAGATGTTATTAATGTTGTAAATAAATAGATGTATTAGTTGAGCATGCTGCAGAGCACAGGATCGTTTTAGTGTTTGCTCACTAAAGTACTTCTGGGAACAAGTTTTAGAGGGAAAGAAAATATTAAATTGAGAAAGATGCAAACAGTACAAAATACAACTTATTCCTTCTCTTCCCCTTTCCTCTGTAAACCCACACATTTTGTGGGGTTAGTAAAATGTGGTTAATTAATTTTCTGGAAAAATGCCCAGCAAATAACTGTTTCCAAAATGTCTAGAATTATCCTCAGACACTGGAACTCAGAGCTCTGAAAACATGCAACTTAGTAGTAGCCAAACAGCATATTTTTCTGAAGTGCATGATAAAAGAGGAATGGGATGAAATTTGGGTGTAATTTTAGATGTGGAGGTAGAGAGAAGAACTGTCCACAAGTCTCCAAAAGGGCCCAGATTCTTGAACAGTCGGCTGGAAACAGCAAATTATAGAGAGGAGTCAGTTTCAGCACCACCAACACAGCAGTCTCAGGTAAGTGAAGCAATTATTGGGTGAAACACTATGGGCTGTACTGGGAGTTTACTCTCAGGACAGTATAAGTAGCGTGATCATATGTCCTGGTTTGGCCGGGACAGTCCCAGATGTCATAGGCTGGTCTCGGTTGGTGAAAATTAAAACAAAAGTCCCTGAATTGCAGGGGTGTGGGGTGTAGTCCATCAGAAAGGGTGAGTGGCATGGTGCACCTGGCAGGTGGGCAGGCAGGCAGGTACCATTTCTACATGCCTGTCTGGCACACCATGCTGCTTTGCCTCCACTTCTGCCTGCAGCAACACCACTGACTTGGGGGTGGGAGGCGGGGCAGTGTCCCGGATTTTCCACAGTCCTATAGGGTCACCCTAACTATAAAGGAGGAGCTCCAGAGAGAAACTGGCTCAGTGACAGCTTTCTGGTATAAGAGTGACATTTTTATGGTTTATCTTAAACTACTTTCAAAGCAAAATTACCTAAAACAAGAAGGAACTTTTATTCCTCAGTATGAGTGCATTGTCCTGGTATAATTATATCAATATAATTACACCTGTATAGTCCTGTTTGTAAATTTCCTATGCAGACAAGCCTTCATGAATCATGGTTCTTCCCAGCTCATTTTGAAGCTAATTGGAGGCAGGGAGAATATATTGAGTTGACCCATTTGCCAGAAGCACCGTGGATATCAGCTGGTGGATAGAGTGTGGAGACTGGGGGCTGTTTTACTACCTTTCCATCCCAAACACTTTCTTACAGAGAATAATATTAGACATGCAGCCCTTCTTCTCACCCCAGGTCTGGACTAATGATAAGAAAACCCTCCTCGGCTGCATATGGAGTCTTTAGGCCCCTTTAGAATATATCTACACCATAATGGTATTGTGTACCAACTGGGCCAATCCCAAGGACCTGCTCTCATTCACTCTCCCATGCATGCTTCAAATGCACAAATACAGTGGTGAGGATGTTTTAGGGTGTCCCTCTATAGGCTCTCTTGAGACTGATTTCCACATGTCTGAGAGTGGCTGGTAGGGCCAACTCCAGAGCACATACACCAGCAAATTTCCAGGTTAGGAGCATGCAGACAAGCATGTCCGGGCAGAATGTGCTCAAGAACATCCTGCTGGCCTCTGTCACTGCAGCATATTAAACATGTGCTTCCTACCTTGCCCAGTCATGAATCAGAAGTGAGCCCTACAAAATGGAGAACACTGGAAACTTTTGTAGACATCCTCCTTCTTTCATCTAATTCACCTCTCTGCCTGTACTATGCTGTACTTGTATAAAGAGGCTAGTAGTTGCAGGCCTGCAATATAATTCTTAGGGTATATCATAGAGAGCACCTAACTGGGATGTGTTGTCCTGATGCTGCACACACTCCCTCTTGTACCAGAAGTCATGTAACTGGCTTAAATCAGTACTGGGCATGTGCCAATAAGCTCTGTCTCTCAGGCAGTTCCCTAGTGCCATGCTGGGTGGTATAGCCATGCCCTGAGAATGCCATTGTAGAATACAGTCACCATTAAAGACTGGTCAGGCAAAAGAAATTATCAGTGCATGGACTCACTGCTTTGCTTTCCAACACGTTCCTGAAGTGGTAGTTCCTATTATTTGTTACGTGCAGATGGAAGTTTCTAACACTTTAGGATTCAATCCTGCTTTCATTGAAGTAAAGAGCAGCACCGTCTTTTACTTTATAGGAAGCAGATCTGGATCCTCTTGTGGGTCAGCAGATGAGATTCTACGGTGTTAGCAGGCAGGCCTGGCCTAAAGCCTTTGCATTCCAGTGACTTTCATCATGGCAATTGCATCAGATTTGGATCGGAACGGTAGATGCTCTACCATAACGGGATGCCAAAGACATGCAAATTTTTAACAGGATATTTGCATACATTTACAGTTCAGAAGGAAGAAAACTATAATAATAGTATGGGTTTAACATGCTGCTATCCACAAGAGGGAGGCAGGGGACATTGGAATGAGCACCTGACTTGAAGTTAACTACTTCTGAGTGGCAATGTTAGTTCCTCTACCAAGTGTACCTGCGGCCTGTTGACTGTGAAAATCACAGAAACCTGAGCAGCTGGAGTGTTCTTGTACAGTACAGGAGGAATCTCTGGGTATCATGAAGCTTTTGTTGACAGCTGTCTGCTACCACCTTCCTGGTCCCGCCAGCAAAGGAGAAAATAGCACGGGTAGCAAGACTGGCTGAAATCACTGGTGGCATAACAGCCAGCAGGAACCATTACAAAGTGAAACAATTAAGAACAGACTTTGGACTGTTCTGAATTGTTCTGGGCTGGTCTCCAGCAGCTCCAGTCATTGTGGAGAGAAATTTACTTTTAGGGAATAGGCAAATGTAACAGTTGAATTTATATGAAATGATAGAGATGTAGCTGTTGTGGTCCTGTCAGTGCTCAAGTGTAGCAAAACCATTGCAGCTTTAACAGTTTATTAACTAAAGTTAAAGTGATATAGCTAAGTTGTATTGCTGCAAGAGCATGCAGATGTAGCAGTTACCTCAGAACTGATGCATGTTCCTAAGCGGCAGCTCCTCTACCCCTGCTAAAGCAGTTAAAAGGTACATTTACCCACAACCTAATCCCCCTCTCCTCCCAGCTGCACCAAACACAGCTCTGAACTCATAACTTTGGGCTCCCCAAGCCACAACACAGGGCTCTGGGCCACACAATCAGGGGTACACAACTGTTTTACCCAATAGGTAACATTGGACATCCATGTTGAACTGTTTATAACCAAATTGATATTTTGTATTGCACAGTTCAGTGCCCTAAAGAACCACTTTTATTTCAGCTCACTAGTTCTGCAGTGACTAGCAGAAAAAGTTTAACAAGCACCCAGACAATGAGAATCCGGAGGGAAACAGACTTCCTCAAGTAAGGGGTTTCTTTTTTCTACTTGTTTTTGGTCAGGCAGTAACAAACAATTGCTTTATCCATTGAAATGATAATACTGTTAAATTAAACAAAATGTGGACATTGATTCACAAAAGGAGATTTTTGTCATGGATTTATTTTTAAATATTGCTTTATTTTACTGACTTACATGTTTACAGCCTACTATCAAGCAGAAGCAATCTTGTCAACTCCAATAAAAACTCCTTGTGCCCCCGAAATCAGGAGAAAATTTGTTTGCCAATTAACAATGTGCAGCCCTTGCATGTGGTGAGCCCTTAATCACTGATCAGTACTGCCAACCCCACCGAGCCAAAAATCATGAGATGATGAACTCTTAAAAAATCAAGAGATTGGCATGTAAATTATGACATGCTATTTTTTGAAGTGTATGTGTGTGGGGGGGGATTTGTGAAGTTGTGGGGGGGGGG